AGTCTCAAGGTATCTTTATTATTAGAACGAGGGTACGAAGAGAATTTCAGCAATTACAAAGCAACAATTCCGCGAAGTGTACAGAGATAATTGTCCCCCATCACGTTTACCACGAGTACAAAGGAATTTTTTAATTAATCCCAAAGCTGGGGGAACGCGTGGAAGGTACGAAGAGACGTCTTACAACGTTACGGAGCGATCGAAAGCAGCCTTTAAAAGGGCCGAGGTGGAGAAGGTATTGGTGAACAGTGTAGGGTCCGGTGTAGGCGGAGAGTCTCTGTTCGCCTGTCGGTGGGATAGCAAGAGTAAACGGCAAGAAGAAGAAAGAGGGGTGGAAAGAAACAGGGAGAGACGAGGGAGTGGATGGTATGGTGGAACCGAGAGGCTTAATTAATGAGACGTACGCGGCAGCTGCAGATACCAAGATGCATTGTAAATACAGAGAGACCAGAAAAACTATTGTCCCCGAACGAGATTTATACCTGTCCCAATTACACTCGCGTCGGAACGTTCAATTTTTTTCGTTCACCGGACAATTCGTTGAGCGCCCCTTTTTTGCATGAAATGGACCTCGATAACGTTCCATGGGATGGTCAACCACGATCGTTATAGGCCGGCACGCCGAAGACAACGAATGTCCGGTGCACCGGATAGCCAACCACTTGTAAAGCTCACCCACGCGACGGGTTAACCCACACGGCTCTTACCGATCGGCGTTTTATCAACCTGTGGAAATTTGGCAATTTGTTTCTCGGATTTTTTGACAATTTTAAAAGGTGATACGTTTTAACACGTTCACAGAGTTTTATATATGATATACTTTTAGTGTTTATTTATTTTCATTAGCGAACAAGTTAACAGGTGTTGAGCGTGAGAGGTCGACCCCCTCCCAGTATTCAAATGTCACGAAATCGGAGGTTGCGTGCGTGGAACAGTAAGGAGATTGTTCCATTCGAGGTCAGACCTTTGTTGGGTAGCCTCGTTGCGTGTCAGGAATTCGGCGGTAGCTTGTAAAAGAAAAGTTACAGCATTTTTCTGAAGAAATGGAGATTGTTATAAGGGATTCTACCAAACGAAGAAAATTCGCATGTGCTAATTGAAAACCTGGTATATTGATACGAACCGTAATACCATCAAAATATTGTTATTGCGACCGGGTGTACACTCTGGTTGCAATTTACTCCGTTAACGTAATGTGCGCGTATAATTACTGTAATTGCATTCCTAAATGCATTCTGTGTTCCCTGGTACCTTTGCCAGCCTTATCCACGCATATCTCCGCCACACGGTGGTTTCGCTCCAGCGAGCACACTTCACAGGGATAATTCCACGTCATTTACGCGGCGTGTTTGAATTGTCCACGACAGCTGTGGTTACGTGCGAACAGGAATTTCGTGAAACGGCAATAATCTCGCCGCGTGTATACGGCGGCTGCTCCGCTGTCAGAGAATAATCACGTCTTTAAAAGCGGCAACCGATATTCCCATCGGATACGATAATACCATGGTATTAGCACGTTCGTGTGACACACGTATGAACGCGTATGCAGTTTATTCGATGATTTTAACAGAGAATTCGCAGGTGGTCGTGTTATGCATCCTGACACCTATAACCGTATATCATTTCCATCAGAAGAAATTTTTAATTTTAGTCATTGAGAATTTTGATGAGTTTATATGGGGATCATCGATGGTGCCTTAGTTCCAGTTGGAGATATTTTTTATTTTAATCATTAGAAATTCTAACGCGTTTATATGGGGATCATCGATGGTGCCTTAGTTCCAGTTGGAGGAATTTTTTATTTTAATCATTAGGAATTCTAATTAGCGCTTGTATTGGGATCATCGGTAGTGCCTTAGTTCCAAGGGTGACATTAACATGTAACATTACAAGAGTTACATAGCATTGCAGGCTAACCTTAGACACTATCAATATTCGTTCGGCATAGTGTCTATGCAATTCAATGCGGGTTAAGAATGCAAAGGCACGTTTTCTGCCAAGGGATAACAGGTCCAGTGGATGTCAAACTGAACGATAAAAAGTGTCGTATTTTATCGCGAGTTATGATTGCTGTTACAAGAAAATCGAGCTACAATTTATCGGGCCGGCCGCGACTGTCGAAGCTAAATCATTTTTGCCCGATCTCGTTTGCTGCCGTTCTTTGCACAGCTGGACGTGAGAACCAGCATGCGGAATCACTGAATATATTCGCGCGGATGCGAAAGATAAATTATGCCTCGCGTCACACTCGTATGTCCTGGCTTATGCTTTATGGTTATCGATTAACGTAATTTCAATATCAGCTTTCGATGCTTCGCTCTACTCTGTCGACGTTTCGGCAGTGTCCATTACTTTTTTTCTTAAACTGCAAGGAGATGTACCTCGCTGCTCTTGTTTATACCTTCTCTTTGGATGATGTGAATTAAGCTTGTTGACAAACCGGTGATACAATTTCACGTAGGTGTTTCTTTATGATACCGTTATTAACACTGGTGAAATAAAGAGGTATGCAAATGTTGCGATTACCATGATTAAATTAATATAAGAAACACACATTGCTTATCGCAATTTCTCTTACATCACCGTCCAGAATTCCTCCGATCTACATATCCCTTTCACCGAAGATTAGCACTCGGGTAACCCTCAATTTTCTTTCAAAATATCCCTAAATTAATTCTGCTGGTCTCAAGGTGCATGCATAATAGGATGAACGTAACATTGTATAAACTAGCGAGGAGCCAAGGCACGTTAACTTAGTTAGTATCTTGATCCATTGTCAGGATATCCTGTAGGGTTAACGCGTCTCGGAGAACATCGGTTAATTGGTGAAAGTATAAAGGCATCGCGGTTCGAACCCTGTGGTTACGCAGGATTATTATTTACAACGTCGTCGATGTGATTCCTTGCAAAGTAGAAGCCTCGAAAAAGCAATAGCCAATGGAATGCCAGACGGAGGAGAGCCGCTGAAGCAGCAGCTGGCCGATGCGCCGCCAAAGTGCTCCCGTTATTGATTTACGTTGATAGCTTCTTGGATCCTCGGTACGCAACTCCTGCTTGCGCACCGAGGTCAGTGTAAACAGTGTGTAAAATTACTTTTCCGCTTCGTCCATCGGCGAGGCTTCGGTAAGATTTATCATTCGATACAAGGCGGAGGAATTCCTCGGAGCCGATAATCAATAATCAATTCTGTAGAAAAATTTATCGTGATACAAGTGCATTTAAGAAACGAAAGAATCCGAGTGAAAATTTATGTAACGCATGAAAATTTGTATGTTGGTACAATGTATTGGAAGGGTTAAAAATGGAGAGGAGATGGTGGTGTGATTATCGTGATATTTTTATTGAGCTTTTATGTTCGTCGGCTCGAACCGTGCTACGAGCTGGAAGATTACAATGGAGATCTCGAGACGGGCGTTGACTACGTTTTAATTGCTCGCCCTCTGCAATTACGTGGGGAGACTCGGGGTTTGTACGCCGTGGCAGGGTATAGTTCACGCTTGTTTCTCGACTCATTTTTCTGCCTTTGCTGGCTTACGAGCTCTTCATTTTCACCTTTGTATCCCGATCCATGTGCTTTGGTGAGTTTAATCATTTAACGGCAATATTTGAGGAAAAGAATAATTTTAATTTTTCGTTAATTATAATGGAGTTAGAAATTTCTTCCAATATCTCTTATAATATTCGCAAACTTCCACAGTGTATAAGTACTGCCACCCAGAATGTGGAAAGACGAAAGAAACCTCCGCAAAATCGTCTTGATCGTTTCAGAGACCATCGATATCAATTTGTACCCGATAATCGCGTGCATGAAACGGCGAATAAATGCATCGAACCGGACTTCACCCTGTGTGTCCCGATGCACCGAGCTCAATATACGTTTCACTACGTCGAATCGATACCTTTTTCATTTCGCGGCGCACGAGCGACGCCCCTGTTACCGGATTTTTCGAGTTCCAGCTAATTACGAGTTGTAAACACGGTCCGGGGGAGAATTTATGTAGCTCGTTTGCCACGAGGGGGATGTTGAAGTCCGGACGGTTCGAATGCACCGGGCAATTACGCAATGTTTCCGGCCTCGTGGCCAACAGGAATGCACCGCTCGCTCTCGTCTCGCGGCCATAGCTACGTCTTCATGCTCGAATTTGCCGGGCCAGCCGCAAATTTTCGGAATTAACCGATTCACCGTCCCTTTAGCCCCGGCATTCATGAATTTACGAATGAAATTAAAGCGGAAGCATCCGTGTGTACCCGGTGTTTAAGTAATCCTCGCGACAGGGATGAAAGGGTTCGAACTCGTTTCGAAATGATTCTTTGAAATTATCTTGGAAAAATTACACCTTTCTTGATATTCATTGCGAATGTTTCAGTTTATGTTTGCTTGTTAAACACAAGTCATAAAAGAAAAATCATTTTTCTTTTATTAAGCTATTTAAAAAGAATATTATGTTTCGTGATTTAAGTTAAAAAGATTTGTTCAAACAAAACGTTGAGAGGTTGAAAAGCCCGGAAGGGTTAACGAAACGAATGGTAAAGTTTGGTCGGTGCCGAAGCGATGTGAAAAGGCAAGCATCGTCCATATATCACGCGGCTTTAAATTAGATCACATAATAAATTCTTCCCTGCCGGCAGCATGGTAGCAGCATTCTGTATGCATAGGGTAGCCAACATCTTGCCAGGTTACTTGTTGCTGCTGCAGGTTCTCGCCCCGGGCACCGACATACCACCTTTGATTCTATGAAGAACAACCTGCTTTCCAATATCGAAAACCTTTAGTACAATCAGCGTTCAAAGTGATGATTATAGCTCTCGTGATATATGGGAAATTAAGTAAATTGTAGATAGTGTTATGGGAATATTATGGGTGTTGTTTAAGCCTGCTAGATTCCTTTATATCTTTAGAAACAGAAATGTATCAAAAATAAAAATTCTTCGGTATTAATAAAAGGAAAACAGTTTGCCTTCCTCAGAACATTTCTAAGATTCATCAATTTATTTTTCAGATACAATTCTGCGGATTCGTGAGCAGATGGGTCGAAATTGGAAGAGAAATGGCCAGTTTCGTGCTAGGAGCACAGAATGGGAGCGTCGAAAGCGAGCGAAGGTGCAACGAAGGAAGACCCATTGTCCGGCAGACACTCGACGGCTAAAGTGATAATTTGCGGGTCACGATTAAGATGTGGGATTGTAAATCGTGTCGTGGCACGTTCACGGTGCGTGACCAATCGACCATTAAGGTAACTTACGTATCACGCGAGAGGTGCCGGGTTAATTTGCGAGCGTTGCTTCTCTAAAATTATTTCCAAACTACTCGCCCGCTCTCACGCATGCCACGAGCAAGTTCGATTTCTCCCTCGCGGCTAAAATGCATCTTTAACGATTTCCGGAATTCGAACGCAGCTCGTGACCCATAAACGAACAAAGAATTTCAGAAAATTTTTCTCTTACGAGTTGTTTATTTCTGCATGGAATTGATTCAAGAAATTCTTGGGGAAATGGACTATAAAGCAGTCGCGAAGTTTCAATCTTGACTGAAAACGATCATAAATTTCTTTGAAACGAGCCGCGATAACCTGTTGCATTCATACACCTGCTACGATACACCTATTTGCAACTTTGTAAATAACCTCTGAAATTCTATAATTTAGCTGAAGTTTACTTGATTACTTCGGAAACTCGTTTCAGAAACGTGCATGCTATCCTGTACACGTTTTGCTGCTTATGGTAGAAGTGTACTTCGCTTAAGCGTTCTTCACCTTCAACATTTCTTTTTTTACTCAATTTCGTTGGAAAGTGTAGTTATATAAAATTTCATATCCTTGTTTTCAGATGAGGTTTATCATTATCATCCTTCAGGCGATGGAAGTCTTGGGTCTTTGCTAAGCCAATCATATAATTTAGAGTTTAGATGTAATTTGGCAATTTTTTTTTAATCCTACAGCGTTTCTTCAGATTGGAGATTTTGAAAGGTGGAACGAGAAGTTGACGAAGAAGATTTCATGCGAACACGTGCGTGACAGGAGAAACACTTGAGGCAAGTTTGCATCAAAGTATCGCCGTCTTCTTAGTCTGATCGCCACGTTTTGTTGTGACATCTGGCTTATGGCAGTGACTACAGATTTAACAAGACAGGGTAGGTATAAGGAGGGGTAAAATAATAAATAAAAGGGATGGTTAACCGAGGCCAACAAGAGGAATAAATTCATAAATTTCATAAAGATAAAAAACTAATTAAAATAAATTAAGGTAGACAGGTAGGTCCACACCCTTTGGCGGTCGCGAAAAAATGTACTACGTTTTACGTTATTCAATTAAAATTTATTTAATTACAATTTTTCAATTTGCAATTGTTAATTACCTATAATTTTCTTAACTTATTATTATTACAATTTTTAAATTACAATAATTTATTAACTAAATTATTACTACATAAAGTAAAATTTCATCGTGAGCACTATCTACAGTTTCTTAACTTAATTGGAAGCTTCAGCCATAAACATGGTTTTCGCTAGCACCCTACGCCAATGGGGTGACGTCCGGAATCCAGCATGGCAATTTACGCTTCATTATACGGGGTTGCGCTAACAAGACGCGTTCGAGGAAGGAAGCTGGCCGCGTTCACGTGAAATTGCGAGCGCGTTGGTTAGGATGACTCCGTAAACTTCGGACAGAAAGGGGCGTCCCACGTTCGCGCCAAGATACGGTCGCGTACGCCCGCGATTAATTCGTCAGGTTATGGTCCCCCATCTTCACCGCCTCTCACTTCCAGCTGGAGCCGAAAATCCCGCGAGGAAGAGTTCACGCTGCGACGAACGACGCTGGTATCCCGAAATTGCTCGACATGGCCGTGCGAAGACAGCCCGTGGGACATTATGGGCACGCAACACGGACTCTGCAAAAAAGAAATCCTGGATGGGTTCGATGGGTTCTGGTCCAGGAGGCTCGTAGTTTGGGACCTCGTTTGCGGCTACAACCTGCGCTGCCTTTTCCTTTTATTCCTCTTTCTACCTCCCCACTCCACGTGGTCGCGCGCAAACTGTCCGTATATTGAAATTTTAGGGGTGAATATATTTCTTGGTGAACGGTCCCGCGCCTTTTGGTACTCACGATGGTAATAACGTTGTATGTAGCCAGAGAGGATTGTGAAAAGAATGACATTTCGTTGGTGGTTCTGAAGAATCCATAATTTTGTCAACAGGATGGATATTTTTATCAATTCGTACTTCTAATTAATTTCTCGGTTTAGAAATAATTTCGACACACCTCGATCTATGACAAAATTCTTCAGGCATCCCGGGCTTCGATGTTGAACGGGGTCGATTCATTGACCGGCTTGAACTTTTCGCGAGCTTTAAAAGTCACGACTCGGTCCGCTGAGCACGAGTGGGCAGCAGTTGGTCCGCTGAACAAGCGGGTGGCCTGTGGACGTGACTTTATGCGATGTGGGACTTGCTCGCTGGTGATATAACGCGCAAGAGGCCGGATACAATAGAGTGCCATCCTCGAGGGCACAAAGGGAACGAGCGTTTCTCCGGCCTGCTGTTCGCAATTGATGATCGTGATTCAATTCCGAGAAGATTGCAATGGGACGCGTGGGGGATCTGTTAAACGTGATTGATAATTGCTGTTCGTTCGTGGACCTGAGGTATAGTTATGCTCGTGGGCTGCTGAGACAGATATTCGAACGGTGATGCGCTATTTGTTTCAATATCTCGGTATTGAATCCAGGAAATGGTACTTAATTTTATGCAATTTAAAAATTTTCAATAATTATTTTTATCTATCTCTTCCTTCTAACACTATAAAGATACTAAACTTCCAATTCAACGCTTCTTCGTTCATTGTTTGGCAAGGAAGAATTCTCCCGATCGGCCTTATTCACCGTCATCGATGCATGACCGCTCTAAGATCACGGAGATTCCTTATTCGAGCTCGTTTAAATCGATTCCAAGCGTCGCCGATCGATTTTCATGGACCTCGTGCTGATACCGTGGGAGAAATAATCCCGGTATTGTTACGCTTCTCTCCTAACCCTCGACCATGATTCCGTTCTCTCGAATCGGTAGACTAAAGCCGATCGTCACGGTGTGCATTTGTGCCGTGACAATCGCGATTCCCAGTACCTGTGTCTCGTTCGATACGTTTCGTGGCTTCCTTAATTGGGACGCTTAAACGACGACCTGACTTCCGAGAAACTTAACACGAGCTACACCCGTAAATCGCTGATTCGACGAGGTTTAGGAGACCTCCGTTAATGGGTCCAGATATCTTGCCTGATAACATTTGTTTGAATCGTGTTAACGATAGTTTTATCTAAAAAATTTCCGTCTGAATATCTTGTAACAATCGGTAATATATTTTGTTCATGGCTCATAAAATAAATTCGATGTAATTCTTTTTTTTAAAATTTATTTATTGAATATATTTATGACCGATCATTGATCGCTGGAATTTCAGATGGCCATGAAATTTACTGACGAATTCGCGTTCTCCAGTTTCCTACGCCTATCGGCATTTACACCTGCGCCCCATCCTTCTTCGTTTTCCGCGAGGAACACGCGCCTGCAATTCATTCTCGCGGGGCGATCGAATTCTCGCTTTATCGTGGCCTGTATCGCCGTTAATTTATCGTCCGGTTTGCAGCGGCGGCATTAGAAAACGAAGAATCACGTACCGTGCGGTTACAAATCATCCGGCGGGTGCAACGTGTTGTCGTTGTCGCGGCTTTAAATGGATCAAACACGGCGGCTTTTCGCGACGACATAGGTAAACGGCCGGTTATATTACAGCAATAAAGTACCGGCGAGGTTACGTGCACCCTTGTTACTTGTAACTTTAGTTGAACGATCAACACATTTTTTTATTTTTTAATCGTACAAAATGATTTATGGGACAGCACAAACGTGCCACTTATTTTGCTATACCTACAAATGGAGTAACTGTAGCATTTCAATTTCAATTTTACCCTGTTTTCAAGGATTTTCTTCCGTCGTTGTCCTTTGTTCGCGACTAGGACGAAAGTCAGAGGGCTGAATTAGCCGAAATAAAAAAGAGGCACCTGTGAAATCTGAAATTATGCAGATCGCGGCCCGTAACCCGGAATTTTGATGGCTATGTGCTCCAGATTAATATTAATTTAATTCCTCACTCGCGGCTATAGAAGCAGCCGGACTTCGTTGTACGTTCCTTCAAAGGAAGGATCCCCTTTCTTTTTTGCAAGCAGGATAATGATTAAGAGAGAACGCGAGCAAGGTACGTCAGAGTGGTTCGCTTCTGTTATTAAAGTTTCCTTCGGACGCGATTGTCTTGTCGTCGAAAATATTCCTTTAAGCCGAGGAACATCCTAACTCGTTATTAAGATTTACCGTGGTACGATTGCATGGTTGCAATCAAACGTTTAGCATGAAGCACCGTTTACGAAATCAAATTCAGAAGTGGTTTTTAATAGTAGAGCAATTAAACTGGTCGAAATTATTTTATATCACAGAGCTAATAATTCTACAATAATTAAAAAATTAATTGTTCCATTGGTTTTATAACTTTCTTATGATATTTGAATTTCAAGAACCTGTTGCACTTCTCGGATGCACCGAGGCGCCTGAATGCAGTTCGCCCGGTCTTCAGCCTTGCAGTTTCAGCAACTTTGGCCCTTTCTCTCATTCAATGGTAATAACACATAATTGTAATTTTGCTTCAAATTCCAAATTTTCAATTTACGATTTATTAAGGATTTTTAAATATTCGTGACGAATGAATGAAATATATTGCATCGAAACGGTATCCGTGCCGAGATAAATGTATCATTACCTCACTGGTCTTCCTTCAATCCGTTTCTTAATTAAAACTAAAACGATACCCCTTTATTATCCCCGATAATCGAGGCAACTCGTTAATTAAACAAAGCTCCGAACTCGGACGTTGAACGAACCACTGGTCAAAGTGAACGTAGGAACGCGTGAAAGTGCGTACACGTCGACACGGCGTGATATCCGCAACGTGACAGTGAATGTTCTTTGCATGACCCCATGGCACGCACCTGCCTGACCTCCGCCCCACCAACCGTGTGCAACGCGATGCACGCTGCCCACGCGCCTCTACGCAACGCTTATGCAATTCCTGGAATCCCTCGGGAGGGCATACAAAGGGCGTTGCATCGGGACGATCGTAAAACTCGCGTGCTTTTAAAAGAGAATGTGAAATCGCGATGGTGTTGCGACTATATTTGGCAAGGAACAGTGAGAGAACGATGGCCAAATATTGGTGATATTAAAAAAAGAAAATTTAATAAATACAATATTATTATCACGAACATTTTTGACATTAAAAAAGTATTTTCAATCCACAGTAACTCGGTACAAATTGAAATTACGTTACATGGTTCAGTCGAGGTCTTTTCCCTTGTTTAGATCGATGGGGATCGAAGAAAATTACACAGGCCATACGGTGGTTGGGTCAAATTTCAGGAATAGTCGATTCCCAGAGATTATAGGTTCGATTAAACGGTGCTCGATCGCGATGGGAATTACCTGGAACCTCATAAAAATTGTGAAAACCGACGGGGATTCAACGGGCACGGAGGCAAACACCAGACTTTATGGTGATTGAAATTTTACGGAACCGGCCTGGGGGACTCGAAGTGTAAATCTCGCCGCGATACGATATTACGAAACCTTTTTTCATAGTAATTAACGGGTGGGGCGGCGGCACGGATTAGGAAATCTTAATTAAAATTTTATGCCTGTTAATTTTCAGGTGGCCGCGCGTGATGTGGATGCAAGAACATCGTTTTCTCCTTGCCACCATCGACGAAACCCTTTGCGGTACAGGGTGTCCCATCCTGGTACAATTGGAATAAATAAATCAAGTATGCGTAATTATTGCTCCACCCCTTGTTCGAGGGCCGATTTTAACTCAAAGTTACATTTCATGTGTAATAACGAAAGGGAGAATTACTGTATAAGGACAGATCTGGATTTCACGGCTGTTCTGGACAAAAGCAAAAAGGGTCGATAGAATTTATATCGTGTTTCGTACCGTGATAACATCGCCGGATACTTTTTTTACGCCTTCCTAAAGGGGAGCATTACGATTCAATTTGTGATTCATTTTCTCGGTTAACCGCGACTAAAATGTTGCCCCTTTCCCAAGTACACGCCACCGTTGCCCCTACCAATTCGTGTCATTTTAATACGTACAAGTTCTCGTAAAAATCTTCTACAAGCTCCACTAGCTTGATCCTTCACCTACGTGAAAGGGTGTTTCTAAGTG